GTGAATGGTTTCCCTCAAGAAAATAAACCGAGACACCTTGACTAAAACACGAGTCTATCTTCCTACCGTATATTCCCTTGAAGCATGCCATAAACGAGGGATATAGATTGGCGCTCCTTAACACCAACTTGGTTTGTGAATGTGTGCATTTCAACAAGTCAGAATCGGATTACTGATGAGTGACTTGTGGTCAAAGTTGCGGGTTCGAATCTGTCTGAGGTGTGTCAGATATGCACTGCTGATAATTCCTAATAAGAACAGAATAGCTGCACAAGGATTCTCGGTTTTTCAGCAAAAATTAGCTTTAATGACAGAATGAAATCTCCATTGAAAGCTAGAATCTGTTCCTTTCGCTGGAAAATTGTTTACCTGGAGCGTTTTATACAAATAAAATTCATAATAAAATTTATGAGGTTGAAGCAAATGTTATAACTAACTTTACACTTCACTTGGTCAAAATGATACGTGAATTCCTTTGGGGCCGAATTGTTGTCATCGTTTATTAGTTTGCACCATCAGAATAAAAACTAGTTTGCCTAACCTAATGTGAATCGGGTATATCATCGCGTTTAATCGGGACATTAGGATTTTGCAGACTATATGAATGACATTGAGTTCTTCAAATTTCCCTAGCCCCAAAGTTGGACTCTGGAGGTATATTGTCTAAGAGTTAATTGAACAGGAATATGCTAGTTATTTTTAGTAGGCGGAAACTGAAGCAAATGCGATGTTACATTTGTGACCGAGTTTAACACCTCGACCCACTAAGGCAAATACTGGCCGACCCTAATATGGGATTCTGTTTGTGTACGTACATATGGCTCCTGGTACATACTCATCTTATCCTCAGGTCAACCAGCACTCACAGTCATTCGTTTGTGCGGAATTCATCCAGATCATTTAACTCCATCACCTAACGTTGCAGCTTTTGATTGGATTAATTCACTTGCTTGGAGTTCATCTGTAATACACGGTATTTCGAAACCAAAAATGTAATTGCATTTCACTTACTGGATTTTAAGTTACTTCGGGTGGCCAGAGATCTGCTTACAGAAAGAACCTGTGGACGGCAGGATACAAAAAATTGAATGAATTTGTCCCACTGAGACAGAACCGTACTCTGATTTTCACGGTAACCAACCGAGCGAAGTGAATCTATTCTACAAAATCACCCGACTGGACTCAAACCCATCGTGAACATTTTCGAAGCCAATCCTTGTCCAGAAGAGTTTATAACTGAAGAAAGGTCAAAAAGTCTTCTCATTGCTTTTCAAATCCTTTGCAAAGAAGCCTGTTTATCTAGACCTATGCTAGAAAGATAGGCTATCAGTAGGTAGTCATTCGCCTGCAATGGAGGTTCTCGGTTGCAGCTATGCTTGAACTCAAAAGAAGAACATATTATTTTCTATCAAGAATGTCGCCGTGTATTCCATCCTATTGTGATGTTAAGCGGAATGTCTATAATGCACGAGATGGCCACTTGCTAATTGAACTCGCCATGAGATCAACGGCACTGCCAAATACTCGATTTTCTTAACAATAATTAACACCGCGCAAGCGATGAATCGAAATGAGTCGTTTCGCGTTGCCTACAGAGTACCTAGCGGACTAAAAGTACTGACTAAACGGAGTCGCTTGACCACAGTGGAAGCAGCCGCGATACGAGAGCGAGGTCCTGCTTTCTGCTGCCAGAAACGATCCTTACGGAATCTGAATCTGCGTTGATAGTGTAGCACGTATCGTCCAACCCAGTCGACCAGAAGATTTTCGGATGATTTTACATCATCATAATAGATAAAACTGATTTAAGTCGATGGTCCCGATGTTCAAAGTTAGATATGTACTGACCTGATGAGATCACAAAAACTGTATTGTTTTTTTCGCTGTTTATATTGAGGTTGTGGAGATAAGCAAGCATACGGTACTGCAGTATAAATTGCTGCTGCTTCTGAAGCGGTGATGCAAAACGAATTCGCTTCCTGGTGACAATTTTCAACTACCTCAAACAACCGCCGACCCGCTCCCCAACCGACTTACACTTGAACTATGGAGCTCAACTGCTCCGACACACAGTGGATACCTATTTGAGTTGGCGCTTGGAGAGAAGAACAGCATCTGTCATTTCTTTTAGCCTGTCACGTCTTTGCCGAGCAGTTAATCTAGTATTGGTCTCCGCTAGGTGAGGAAGTTGGCGAAATCATTAGTCTGGGTGTTGAAAGCACACCCATTGAAAATAGTGCTCATCAACGGGGCCAAAGAAGTCTACATGGGGTCCAATGGCGGTTATGATGGTGTTGTAACTGCCCAACTAGCGTGTGTAAAATCAATTGCACGAAATCCGGAAGAATTGAAACTCGGTCCGCAGTTGGTAGCGCAAAGATTAAGGAAGCAGAATACTTCGTGGTGCTTGATACAATAAAAGTGGTAAATTTCCTCGGTGCTTGATGAACTCCTGTACAATAGGTACCTGTATCCATACTTAACATGCTCTCAAGGCAACATACCCCGCTAGCTCAGTGGCCGAATGCACACATAGTCCCTTTGGACCCATCTACTTGCTGAAATGTGCTATCTTTGTTGGCCCACATGGGGCGACATCTCCACATACGTCACCACCGTATATATGTCGCATGTTCATCGACGGTCCCTGTTCGAGGACTTGGATTGCGGTAGGCAGATAATCTATGGCTGATTCAACCTAACGACTATGCTACAATGGTCCTGATATTCATCCAGACCTCCATTCGTTATGGATAAACAGGTCAATCTACTCTTTAGACGTTGCTGTAGACAGTCATCCAACATTTGGAAAGACATTTTCATAGTGCGATGTTACTACGTTCACAGTGAACATCACGGTGTCGGGGGTGGGAACAAGTGCATAAAAAACCGTGTCCCTGTTGTGTCTGCTTCTGGAATTATCTATCCACGCATTCGAAACTCCCAGCTCAGAAATCGTAAGAAACCCATGGGTATCGACATAGAGATTAAAAAGACCTTTAAAAATGATGGTAATCATATGAATAGGGTCACTACTGGCTGTACTGAACCGAAATAGTCTAAATCATAGGGTGGTCTGTGAAAGTTTTCCAACTACCCGCAAAATGAATGGGTTAAGTAAGTAACATATCAGCCGTCAGCCGCAGATGATACTTACCTGGCGAAAACCTCCAGACATCGGTTTCTCGAACCAAAAGTAACAGTTTTCGTTCGGAGCGAACAGATCTACCTGGTTTTGTTACGAAAATGGAGACATCAGCATTTAAAGCTGAAACTGTCACCAAATGTTCGTTTAATTCGCTACGAAGCAGACTCTTACTCGAAACAAAAGCGCAAATTACGAAAATATCATGTTTCGGCCTGAAGCAGAAACTTTCAAAACTGACTTTGGCAACTGCTCAATGACATCGATTCTGACATCACGCAGTATGGTAAGGTCTTTCATCGACGAGTCAATGACAAAACAAAGCTTTACATTGCTGTGAATCATTAGCAGATAAAACGGCTTGAATAGGAGCCCGATTGTAAAATCGGTAAGTTGGTTTTGTCTAGTAAATGGAGTAACTTGGATTGAAGTCTGAAAGCCCGGTTGCCAAATGTGACTATGAGTGTCTACTTGGTTTGGGGAAAGAAACGACTGTCACTCTGGGTAGATGCTGCCTCCGAGTTCAAATTCTGATGCTCAGAAGGATGATTTGTTCCAAATCAGCATGCAGCCGCATTAAAGAGAAGCACAACCAAGTTTACGATATCTACCTGATGACTCCTGCTGCTTTCCTGATATGAACTCGTAGACAGCAACTGTGTGCACAGATAGATCGGTTGGCTATCACAGAACCGCTACTTATTCTACATACTTGATTTGAATCGATATTTGTTCAAAATGAAGTTCCCCCCACAGTCATTTTCCGTATAAATCATCTGATTGTCCGGCATCTTCTGTGAAGCATCACTCGGAAAAGATTGGAGAACAATCTGGAATTAGTGACAAGGTCTTACAGACTATCGATACAACCCTCACCCCAACGTTTCGCCCACTTGCTTGCTCAGTTCCTGCTTCATTCTGAATGAGCAGCTCCGATTACCAGTGTGGAAAACTTTTCAGCCTTATTCTTGCAAAGCCTCTGGTAGCCTCACCCATTGATTGTAATTTCAGGAGGTTTGGTTTAGCATAGAATTTCTTCGCGCATTCATTCTGTGCGTTACCAGCAAACACGGGCATGCGCGCTCACACACACACATTGATGGAGACGCACAAACACGGTTAGGCGCGAACATTCGCATCCCACCTTGTGCTCATCGTAATGATTAAATTAACCTGCTTAGGACAAATGCAATGTCATGCTTAACTTTTCAAGAAATCTAATGCAATTAAACGACCTTTTGCCTAGAAGAATTAAATTTAGGGTTTTTTCTGTACCGGACGTCCCTCATAGTGTGTGACTGTTTTCGTCTCTGTATTGAAGTTCACAGTCTGGCTACTTGCCACCTGGAGCGATTCCCATATAAATGAACGAGTTGGATGTTGTGGATGGCAAAGTTCTCACTCTATCAGGCTGATTCTCTGTACTAAAAAGTTCATGGTTTTATCTGACCATCAACGTTGAGTTTGTGTGGCAAACCAGGACAAACTAGGCCGGAAACTTACCAACTGTTACACAGTTGTTTTATTCTTTTTGGGAATCTTAAGAGGGTAGAATCTCACAAGTATGTTACGAGCGAGGAGGATTCAGTCGGTTCGATGGACTTTATGCGAATGCACCGTTCAGTTATGCTTGAGCTTCTCCCAAACAAGTGTGTTCGCTTTCGGCAAATTTCGCTGTTCCATTAGGGTCTATCAACATACCCCTTGCCAAAATAAGATTCCCTAGATGAAGGCTTACTTGGGTACAATGTATTTCGAATCCATAGCAGCAAAACAGGTGCTTATTTCCTTGCTGTTATACACTGATTAAGAATCCACATTGGCAGTCCTTGCTATGGTCATTAAACATTTTCAGTTCTAGTTCAACTAGACCCGGTATAATTCCCATCCGTCTCTCTCTCTCTCTGTCCTCGCTGTGCAGTTATCGATTTCAGGTTTTCGCCCGAGATCAGGGCATTCACAGACAGTTAACTGGTACGACAACAGTGGAGGTAACCGTGCTGGATACGAACGACAATGCACCCATGTTTGTCGGACTGGACAGTGATAATTGTTACAAGTTTCGCGTCGCGGAAAACGAACCGGCAAACACACATGTTGGTATGTACACGTCTGTGTGTTTGTGTGTGTTTACTCATGATCCCTGTAAGTGGAACCCGGTTGTTTCGATTGAAAAAACAACAGAAAATTTAATGTTTGACTGGGAGGACGCGAAAGACAAGACGATTGCCATTAACGTGCAGCAACAGTGAACAAACCACGGTAAACCTTATCAATTCCACCACATCATTAAAAGCTATCTGGCTTAGCACACAGGGATGATATACTATTCAGTTTAGATGCACTGCCCACCTGTTTCCCACAGCTGTTTTTATATCATATCGCAACTTCCGAGAATCAGGCAAAATGATTCGATTGTCTTTACTTCTAGTAGACATATCGCCCGTGATTATCATTCATGTCGCTATGTGCTACTTTATTTGATCCGGCATTTTGGATAACATTTGAAACACCATTGTTCTCCACCGTAAGCTTTGCTGACAGTGATTTACTACCAACCGAACTCATGCCAAAGAAAAGTCTTGTACATTTGGGGTGATTCTCCATCATTTAAGGTCACTACAGCAACAGGAAAAACCCTGGAAGATGGACAAAACTAAAAAATTGGAAAACAAAAATGAATTGCCGACTGGCCCTAGCGATAGATAATTCGGTGCAAAATTACTGAGGTGACAAATTAGACTATCGTTAAGTTCTGCGCAAAATGTCTGTCCACTAGAACTTGTCTGGATGCGACTTTGCGCGTGATCATTTTGGTCCTTTCAAGATGAAAAGCATTCGGTTAGAAGAAGCACGAGATGGCTCACGTGGTATAACAGTAAAAACACTCACAAGGGGTTCATTCAAAAACACATTAGTTAACCGGAAGAGTGGAAAGTATTGATCTGGCTATCAATCAATAGTCAGGTCAAATGATTGGTCTAAATAACAGGTCCACCCCACTAGGTTTTTTCTTAACCAAGCTCTTCCGAGTAGTCTTAAACAAAAGAGCACGATGTCATAAAAATTTTATGTCATCACGACCCCGGTGCGACTACTGCAATTAATAAAGATGAGCACATTTGAGGCAGTCCTTAAAAACATTCCAGATGCCTTGGATATTGGGAGAAAATGATGTGATCTACACCGACAAAGTGGGCAGAGAAGGCAAACCAAGCGACGTATGAGGAACATTCCGCTGCTTAAGAGTGCTATTTTAATGGATCATAAATTAGCCCCGACCTGGTGTTGTGTCTGAAGATAAATTCGTCGTCAATTCAAAATTAACTGAAATCAATACCAGACCATTCACTGGACAATCCAGGAAATGTATATGTCTCCAAAATAATAGGGATGTTGTAGTCGATTTGCACCCGTTGGAGAACTTGACGAGGGAGAAGGCGGACTGGAGACAATATGACCCGATGAGTCGATTCAAGTTTTCAGACTAGCCATGAGTAAACTAGTTCAGGCGGTGTTTGGTGGAGTACCTAACTGAGAGACCCAGTCAACAATGGTAGACATTTTCCGCCGTGTTGTCAAACTATCTTCCTCACTGATACGCGTTCAGATTGCTTTCCCAGTCCAACAATGTCAACTTTGTTGTTCAGGCTACATAGAGCACATTGTGTTAGCAGGCTGAAATTCGCGTTCGGTTGAATGAGACAAATAGCTCACAGGTGTAGTTCTAACGAGTTTATGTCCCCTGAGTGTTGATTTTGACGATGTGGAAAGTACCGTACAAACGGGACTGCTAGGTTAAACTAGCCAGTTCGCTTTTAAGCTCCACACCGTTTTTCGCTTAATTTACTCTAATTGAAATATCTAATTCTTTGATGGCATCATCTTAAGAGTGAAAGCCATCTTACCTGAGTCTTACCTGCTTCGTCTCATCAGTGTAGACACTTATTTGCCAGCCTCTACCATATGCATCCAATATTTTGGCCAACTCGAGCTGTCACTTGACGAGTATACCGTAGACTGAGACTGGATTATTCGCTCGATTCACTTCACTAATCAAGTGCTGTGTCGCTTGCTCCCAAATCTAAAACGTTTTTCCGACAAAAACAAGAATTCAGGGAGCCAATCTGCTTCACACTATGCTTTTTGCTATTTATCCTATCGCTGTGAGCTTTGTTATGCTGTGTCTGGCTCAACCGCTGTCATCCATCCCATAGATCTGTTTCTGTCAGCCGGACCACAAATGACCAGGTGTGTGTTGTAATAGTCCAGAGAAAACGCATTCAGTCTTGCTCTTGAATTTCATCTTCTCTGTCTGTTTCAACCTAAATCTGACCTCGGTTAATGACTATATATGGGTATGCATAAATATCTATGTAACCTTCCTTTTGCATTTATTCAATGACCACCTTGTCAGAGCGTGTACATTAACTCTGCTTGGAAGTACAGTGAGTACATGTGGAGTAAATTGGCGAGAGGATGCTGGATTATCCGGCAGTGCAAGGGTTTGTTATACCTGCATGGAGGATTTACGGAATTCGTTTGAGGACTTCTCTCGTCCTGGCACAGTTATACCGGTTAATCCATACTAGTCCTGTTGAATAACTTTTCAAGCAAAACCGTGGTTCCTTCTGCCAAAGGCTCGTTGTTTTTGTTGCTTCATCGACTGACTGGACTATGTATCCGACTGTGTTATTAGGGTTCGAATCCTGCTAACCTGCAAGGTGATGCTTATTGCAACATTCATCTTGAAATGAGGTGCCATTATAAATAGTGCGCCCTTGTGATTTATACGTTGACAAAAATGACAATATAGCTTAAAAACATGATAAGCAAGCAAAAACCAAAATTTGTGAATTAATAACAGTCAATCAGCTCTTCGGTCTCAGCTTATTCACATACCTCTGTGGGAAACAGCTGTCACTAACGGAGCACCTGGATGAAGAAAGGATAAGGCACGTCTTATGCATATAAACTGGATCTGAGGCTGCGTCAACGTACTATATTGGTTTTCGGGGCGAAACATCGATCTCAGTAAGAGCGAGCAAAGAGTAAATATGAGTCGATCATTTACCCACAAACAACTAGCATGAGTCGATCCAGCAATTTGATGCATTTCTATCACAGCATCACATAGCAATGACTGCAGTTTTCGGTATTTTTCGGCCTACTGACATCACCGAAAATTGATCTCGCTCATCTTCGGCATGGTTTGAAATTTCAGGTTAGCTAGAGTCAGACCATGTGGTCAGAAAAGTTTGTTCAAATAAGTAGACAGGGTTCAGCCAGCCCAGCTTTGAGTGTGTCCGGTTGTACTTAGCGAGTTGGTAAAAAAAACTCTCGGTTTGTTTGAACTGCGGGTGTAAGTCCCCTGACGATTGTGCTGGTAACTCCAACCCGCCAGCCGTTGTGAAGTTGGACGAGTCGATGCAGAATGTCGCATGACCCTTCGCTCGCCTGTTCATATCACTTTGGTTCATTGTTCAACAACATTACTGAGTTCGCATCCCATAAGGCCGAAGGAGTCTCCTACAAACAAGTGCAAAATCGAGGGTTATCTTCATGCCATATAACATTCAAGGAGAGTAAATCAAACATAAATCAGCAACCCGCCGCTGTACACACACTTTTCATTAATATCCTGAATACCAAACGAGTACATTTTCGTTCTTATCATCCGCCACTGCCGTTTTGTAAAGGTGAAAGCGGGGGTCACATTGATGAGTAGTCGAAAGCTATTCTTCTGAAACCTCACGTGACTAAACAAAGGCAAGTGCTAAAGTGAGGATATTGTTAGGGATGGCTGTGAATAGATTAGTTTTTTTAATGATTGGTTCCCGTTATCACGCCTCCTTGTCTATCCTTCCTACTACGAAATACAAGGGGTCCCACTAAATACAAAGTGAAATGCATTCGTAATCACGTGCCCGGTTAGAATAGGACGTTTCCCACCAACGCGTCACTTAGCACAGGTATGTAATAACACCCGAAATATTATTCAACTCCCATTATCAACAAGTTATTCCAGTAGCTCTTGATCCAATAGATTTCTTTAGAAGTGACGTTTTGTAAATGTTGTTTGAAATCCACTTAACAACTTTTCACTGTCTTACCTAGTTCTCTCATACGCCAACTGTTTCAGAAAACATCGTCTCTATGGTTGTTGACTTGTTCGCTCAGCTGGGCAGTCTGATTGCAGACGTTTAATCCCCAATCGAGGCGACATCATCAGTGCGTATTGGGGAGCCGTAGTCGTACGTAGCGGTGGGTTAGTGGTTGTGCCCCAATAACGCACTGATGATGTCACCTCGATTGGTGATGAAACGTTTGAAATCAAATTGCCCAGCTCAGCAAACAAGCCAACGACAATCTACGCTACCTGAGGTTCCAACATCTTCCTCTATAGACAGCGTCTATATCTTATTGTGGGTGTCAGTGTAGCTCTGACAGAGAGTGACGCTAGTTCTGAAGTAATTAAGCTTCAACCTCTTGGAATCAGAGTTTCCGTATGTGACCATTTCCCTAAAGTAATTTGTTACTAGCACTCGTCCAGCCTTAAAGGAGCATTTTGTAATCATGTACTTTAAAATGCCAATCTTGACTACCCTCTGTGTCCTCCCGAATTGCTTTGCACACGGGCCACACTCGGCCGACATCTCAATTGCTTAATCGATGACAGTGCCTCCTGCATTACTCAGTGGTACAGCAAATTCACTGAATCCCGACTGATAGTATCAATTCCGGTCATTCTGCAAACTCTGCGGTTCTGTTTAGCAGTGTAAGTAAATAGTACCAGCTCAACAACCATTAATTCAAATGATTCCGGTTTTATTTGAAAAGAATAGATTTGATCTCCCTCCAACGCACCACCGATTAGTATGTGTGAGCGGCAAAGCTGGACTTTCTCCTCTATGAGAACAACCCTAAAATATTGCGCTGGTGATGAAACCACATTTGATTTGGTTCTTCATGAGATACATCGTCTCGACCATACGAATTACTCTGTGGTTACTATCGACACAGTCAATAGTTCGATGACAGTCGAACAGGACTATTAGACTTGTGGATTTCGTCAGCTATTGAGCTGATGAACTTTGCTAAACTATGAATCAAGAAAGGCGAAAGGATAGTTTGTTGATCAGAGATACACCATAGTGCATACCCTGTTTTTCATCTGCATGGCGTGTACTTATCATAATCTGGAACATTAAAAAATGTCTATAAGCCACTGCTAGTAAAAGCATGTTGAACACCAATCTCCAAAGTGACTGTGGAATCTTCCAGTGGAAAGAAAACTCTTTCTGATTACATGCAGTTTATGACGTTGGAGTCTGCCTGAATTATTTCATGTGTGCGCTGGAACTAAGTTTTTAATTGCCTATTTCTTCGAGCTGAAAAATCTCGTGGGCAAAAACAGAACACCTTTCGACTGTTGCTCAAATCTTTCCGATCTAGGCATTCTACTCGGCACCGATATGGACACCGAGGAAAATGCCCAACTTCGGTTTCGTTTGGTCACCTCGACAAGCGTGTTCAAGCTGGACTCGATGACGGGAGAATTGACCACCATCCAGAGTTTAGACCGAGAACGTCAGCCGGAGTATGAACTGGTGGCAATGTTGCTGGACAAAGGCAGGCCACAACAATCTGCAACAGCGAAAATCCTCATTCACGTGACTGACGTGAATGACCATGACCCGATTATTGTTTTCCCCGCAAATGGGAGAGGAAACGTTTCCGTGTCGTTTCGGGAGCCACCAGGAGAGGTAAACTTCTTTGTGATGTTTTTGGAGAGATACACTCATTTGCAAATCAATTTGGTGATCACGAGAGACTCAACTGAATCTCTCGTTCATGATGTTCTACAACTGAATGTGCTGCACACAGGCCGCCCCATGTTTCAGTTGACATGATATTCGAGGTATCGAAGAATATTTTCATAAAGGAAACTTTTCACAAGGTTGCTGGAAACTTTTCGTCGAAGAGTTTCCAGCAACCTTGTGAGTAGTTTCTTTGTGATTTCTTTTCAAATGTTAACCTTGCAAAAAGCTGCTGCGTTGCGTTTTCTTTGAATGATATTATACATGGGTCGCAGATAACAAAGCGGCTGTAAAATTGAATGTTATTTTTTTTATCAAAACAGTGTCTGCGTTAAATATTTTTGGCCTACCGATCCGGCAACATAATTCTCGTTAAGCTTGTTTTAAGGAGCGTACAAAGCCAACTGAGGAGAAACACTGATTACCGAATTGAGTTGGTTTTTACGAAAGGCTCAAGTGAACCCCCGTAAAATCTTCCAAATAGGTGTATTCTCCCAATGAACGTCGTGAAAATCAGTGTATTCGCCAATCGCATATAACCTGTTGTTCAAGCAAAACATGAGATTGAAACTAGAAGATCGTCCAGTTAAGTACATTTACCTTGAGTCTGTCTACCAGAAAATGTGCAAAACCGGCAACGTACTACCGAGGGTTTTCAGTAACCTTATGACTCGTGCGTTTCCGCAAAATAGTAGAAACCAACCTTGTCTTAAATGAATGGCATTTGATACTTTTCCTCAGTAACTCAGTCCACTATATGCTTTACTTCCAGCTACGTATTATTTCAACTGTACGCTTTACCAGCCTCAGCACAGAATGAGACACAACTCAAGGTCCTCTTGAATCCATTTGCTGACCAAATACTGCGTTCTCGATTTGAAAAGTTCCAGCTGTCTTAGGTTCAACAGTTAACATAAGGCCAGCTGCTGAACATACTGACAACATGAGTTGAAATGTCATATCCACGGGCATTTTTGTCGTAACTTACATTATCAATATTTAGGTCAGTTAATCATGTAGGCTTTTCTGGTAAGGATCTTTCGAGAAACTTAACTCGTTTCCTAGACCCATCGAGGTCCATTTTCGTGCATTATATTAGCCAAACAATCAATTATCGGCAAAAACCCTGTCAGGGTTGCAACAGATAGCTGAATTAATTTATCTTTTGTTCTTAAAACTACATCGGATGGTATGTTGAGACATCGAGTTGCTTACGAAATTGCTTTCTAGCATGGTCACGGTTTGCACACAACACTTGTAGACAGATTCTTTTTAGGTGCTTAAATGTATCTGTATCAATGTCTGTCCACAGGTGGTTGCACGTATAGAAGCCCGCGATCCAGACGAAGGTCATAACTCTCTGCTACATTATAGCCTAATCAAAGGTAACAGAAACTCCATCTTCAGGCTTGGTAGCACTTCGGCTGAACTGATTATCGATCGGGATCTAGATGAATCATATGTCGGAACGTACACTTTGCACATTCTTATCCAGGATGCCGGCGTTCCTCCAAGGTCATCCCAAGTCCAGCTGACTGTACAAGTAAGAAAAAACCTATTACAATGAGAAATGCAATCGAGTGTGTTTGTGGTCCGTTGAATATCTTAAACCCGACCCATACGTTACATACCGTCATATAGTCAATGGGTACAGCTGTCCTTCCTAACATTTTGTTTAAGCCGGATCTACTGTTAACTCAAGAGCTCATCACCCTCACGGGAAAGCAGTGCGCCGAGAATGTAGCCAAGCGAACTGTTTGGATTTTGGACTTTTCACTTGCAAACATCTTTGCTCACAAAGATTTTCAGAAGACAAATGCACAGCGGCAGGCTGTTAGACAATCGGTCTGGAGGTCTTTCAAACATTTCGCACTTAAGGCAGACAGGGATTCTGCAATGCGTCATTGTAATACATACGGGTTTTGTAGACAAACACTGCGAGGATTACTTAGAATATCGAAAATTCTCTTCATGTGCCTCAGACCGTTAATTGAAACGGTGTTTTTGCTGAATTTTATCGAGTGTATCTATGTCAAGCACGTACTGAACCACATTCATTGAAGTGCATATCCTGTTGTCTTTGTTGCAGGCTTAAATAAATAAGATTAAATAACGTTTGAAAACTTTGATGACCAGACCCTTAGTTTAGATATCAATATTGTTGAAACTCATGAACTTTTTAACGTCAAATTAGTTCATTCATTTTATCACTTCGGCAACTACCAGACAAACCACAAACGAGTAATATTTAACACCGATATTATGCTGTAGACAATGGTATTGACGATGAATCATTTACAGACCTGTGGATGAACCCAAATGCGCTCACTGATAAACCAGACAAGAGCGTTGGAATGTGGTAGTACACAGGAGAGTACAAAGTACTAAAAAGTACCAAAATTGCGTACAAAGATGAAAGAAGGTGGGATCAAAGTAAATAAGCAGTTGTCTTTATGAGCGGTTCTCTCAACCACACCGGTACTTCGTAACGGGTTGGGGTTGCGGAGTTTATCCAAAGAAAATTGGCGATACGGTTCGGTTCAGAGAGGTGGTACGACAAAATAACATGGAATACAAAAGTGCGCTTTCACTTTAGGCAGCTCCTTTGTTCACTAGTGTACCTCTGCCGGACAACCCGTACACAGTCTGAGGGCCCAGATGCCGCATTATGCAGATCATCGCACACCAGGTTCTGAGCGTACATTCGGTGTCATGCACTATCGCTAAGAGAATCATGTAGCATTAGGCTCACCCTTGCGCCTGCTGTCCACCGATTTCTGCATGGAAAAGCTGAAAAACTATGGACTTCTTGTAAACTGAACAGATTTTCCCCGGTAGCTTATGACACATTCTGTATTGTTGATGAGTGATCCGACCTATCTACAGGTCTTTTAGAAAGTACTAACATCACTGCAATTCCCAGATTAATTTGAAAACGACAGTAAGAACAAACGTGTTGCAGGATGAAGCAATTCACTCTCCGCCAAAAGGTTTGTAAAAGAGTAAGAGTAAATAAAACCCAGGGGTAAATCCATCTTTTATTTGAACTGAACCGTAACATGGCTGGTCAACCCTCAGATCTTTCCGAGGGCACAGTACAAGCATGAATCGAACAATCCATGTTATATCGAAGAATTTCATTCCATGCAGTCTACTGCTTTGCACAGAACAGCAGCTCAACAAAACGATCGGCTGTGTTGCGCTGAATGTTCGACGCAGAGTCTCTACTGTGAGCTCGCCAGTCCCTGGGCTATCTTAATTTTATTGATTGACCACGTTAGGGTTTAGGTCCATATGAACGACGTAGCCAGTCTTGAAAGATTTGTCATTCTATTTCGTTCTACTCATATTGCTGCAGATTATATCGAACCCATCCATACTGTCTTGTTTGCTTTGTTGAGTGTTGATTAGAGGGCGAGCTTCCTCTGCTGAAGTGACGTCAACTGCTGCCATATTGTGAAACCTCTTTCCAAAGCCTCCTCCTATATTGCCTGTAAAATAAGGACAAGCTGCCACTGCTAACCTTTTCAATTGCTTTCTGCCAAGTATGTGTATGGTCCTACCGTATAGAGTATGTGTCCCGCTAGTTGACCCGAGAACCAGATAACACTGGCTCATCCTCAGAATAAGAAAGAGAGCCACCATAGGTCTATTTCAGCCCACTTAATTGACACAAGCTATAGAGTTATTCCGAGTTTAGGATCACTTACCAACTAGTGCGATCAACACCAGTTACAGTGGTTATTCTCCTAACAATAAGGTTATTATCATTAGCTTTCGTGTTCAAAACTGTCCAACCCATCTCAATGAGATAGTCCCTCGTTTAATATAGGCACAGTTTAATACCCCACTGCGTTACGTGATTCTCAAAAGGGGGATTTCATCCTGATGGTTACCCGTCTACAGAGACTGAAAACGACCCATTTAAAGATAGCATTCACCGGGGAACCTATTGCTAGCTCGATTAACCTGATGTCTTAGTCATTTCAAATTTGTCCCTGGTTATTGTTTTCATACCAAGTTGACACAAGCTCTTCAGTGGGGACGCCAGAGAAGGGCACGGGTTACCAAAGAAAGATATGTCTTTCATCTGGAGCACTGTCTACTATAAGGTAAAAGCAAATATAGCACTACCATCGAGTTATCCGTGGAGTGATTGTGTTAATTTCGATACAATACATTTATTCTAGATCGAATGATTTTCTTTCGGCCTTCGTATACAGTACTTCATCCAGAGGGGGTATCTGTGGGACCCTGTCGCGGCCAAGGGTATGCACCGATGATGAGTCCGAGTAAGAGTGAAAATTCAATCCAGTTCTTCTCCGCCTGGGTGTAGATTCACTAAAAGAATTATGCCAAGACAGGATGAAGGCTGTTCAGAAGAGGAAGTTTCGAATGTGAAAACTGAATTCAGTCACTTCCATAAAGGCCGATCGTGTAATTGGATAGTGCAGGAGGTGGCAAATGCAGTGGCCTTTTTAGGAGACACACGAAACGGTCACCCAGACAAACCATATTGCTATTATAGTGATTTCACGAGAAAGTTTAGTATATTCTAGAAAGATGGATTGTCTCCTGCTGCATTATATGAAGGAGTGGTAGGAAGGCAAGGTGCAAATATGATAGCTAATCCGTCACTACCGTTTTTGATAAAATAAAATTATTCACGATTGCAAGTCTGCTAGAAACATTTCCATTCCTACGCAATTACGCTGCGTTTTCCTCAAGCATCTGTGTTGCTTCCGAAAGGCGTGCTTCATCCGCTTCTGAGGTCACTTGTTAGGAGGTGCAAAATAACCGGCAGTACTCATATGTATCTTGTTTGTGTTCCTGTTATACTCTCCTGAAGACTGAATGCGCTGGGATGGGGGACTAAATACATTCTCAGGAATGAACACCCATACGGACGAGTGAATCTACATCTCTAATTCCGTCATCATTCCTCTACGGCAAGAACAGGCTTGCTGGTATCATAACAAGCAATCTAATATTAACTTCAAGCGGTCTGACGAAGGCACGGCTGGAGGGGCGAAAAACTTTGCCATGACACCACATAATCAGACTGGTTTAGAACATGTTCCGCGACAGGTTACTTGTTCGGCTTGGCGTGCATTTTATCAGATCTTCATCGCTTATCATTTCACCGTTGGCTGTGCTACCAGGACCTACTTTGCGTGACGCAAAGTCCAATGTCGTCAAGCCCGGTGAATATATAGTGGTCTCTCTCGTACATGCCATCAGAGTTTCGCCATATTGTGTGTTTCTATAGTAATAAATATGTTGTTAACAGTACAGTCATAGATAAGTGTCGGGTTTTATTTGGCCACCTTTACTGAGATAAGAAGGACTGCAGACGGGACAACGTGTTGATGCACTCATCATCCTCAGGCACACCTCACACTGCGCTGTGAAGCGCATATGTCTTCGATGTCAGTCATAAGACATAGGACTGGTATAGGGTGTCTGAGCGCTACTTCGCGTTTCGTCATTCATTTTATCAGCTCTGCTTACATCATCTGATTTTCTGGGTGACTTGAGCTTTGACTGGCGAAGTCGATATCCATTTCGGAGTGTAAAAACTTTGGTGTGTTCGATATGGATGTACATCTATCCACCTTAAAGAAGATAAATCACCAGCGTGTAAGTTATCTCACGGGCATACCTCTAGTAATTTCGCGAACGACAGTATTTTTAGCCACCTTTAAACAGTTTGTTGCACATTTAATGATTCACAAAAAAGAATCAAGTTTAAGCTTTGAGAACTGTCAATTTTAGATTAGAACTTCCTTTTTTCCCTACCTCCAAACTGTACAATTCACGTGTGCATTCTGAGGGTGTCTTTGCAGAAGCCTTCATGGAGTGAGCGTGCATAAACAAGAGCGAACTTTTGACCTGAGGATAGTAAATTAATCCAAGGGATTTGCTTGGATTTACAGTTGGTTCATGAGGAAATTCCTTGCATTTTCTCTAGAAAAATAATTTTGGGATCCCACAAATCTTACAGTGAAGGGTATAAATGATAATCCATTTGATTAGCCAGAAAGTGAGGCGTTACCGCTGACAGACGAACCTGGAAGGCATGGGGCTTCTTAGACGTCAGGATCACCACTTTATGATTACAGCTTTATTATGTAGTGTTTGTAAAGTAAGATCCACTTACCACATTTAAAGCACCTTCAATCACTTATGTCACATGGTCACCTAATAAATGTAACAGTCATTTCCAAATACTTCCGTCTACCTGCCTACTGCGCCTCCCTCTCCATCTTGAAATTTGAATTCGGCCCCACGCCTGGTTCTGGTTAGAACCTCAGTTGCAATATTATTCTCCACCTCATGACATTCTCCACCTTAGACATACAATCATGGATCACTGTCGGTGTTATTCGTTGTGCGTGTCCTATAACTGCCTAAATATCCGACTGGTGCCTTTCTGAATCCTTTCTAACTAAAAAAATTCTGAAAGTACTGAAAGTGCCTCTGGGTAGAGTATCAGTAACAAACTTTAACCATTGTATTCGTTATACTCGACATGAAGAAATGTGTGCCAGGTATCAGCATTATCCAGTATGCCTCGAAAAGAATTCAAACAGTTTACAGGAGGAATGCCCTACCTATTGGGTTACTGAAAACGTTCGTCGCACATCACTACAGGCAGTTCGCCACACCCCTACCTAATAGAACATCTCTAACGGCAGTGATAGATATGTTCCGTTCATCGACTAGACAGAGGTGTCAATATCGAGTGCTTAACCATGAAAGGTAGGAGGCATCCTCAGTAACTTGCGGGATACAGCATCCATCTGTTGGACAGGAAATCACTGGTTCAATTCCATCTTCAGGAGCGTCTTTTCAAAGTGGCGAAGAAAATGCCATGTAAAATAAGTAGTTTAGGCCCAAGAAATATGATGGAAAAGGATCATCGGAGGGGATAAATGCCTTGAAGTGCTGCCAAAATACTTCACCTTCCATATACGCCTGCAAATACTCACTAAATATTCACATAATGGCTTGGTTTGAAACTCCCACAAGTTCAAGTGTTTACTTTTTATTCCCCACGAATTTAGATCTAAATCAATCCTCCTGGGATGACTCGCGGAGCAAACAGAATTGATGAAGAACCTCTTCAAAATTCATGATGATTTAAAAAAAACGGATCTAGTTATTCCGTGCAGTTTCATTCATACTGACTGATTTCGAGCACCTTGTTCCTTGCCCTTCCGTCCGCGCAATCCAAGGCCTGACATCACGTGCCTAATTGAGAGCAAGATGTCGTTTTCCTTTTGCAAACGGAGACTATTTACTCAAGTCAAACACGACAGCAAACAATTTATCACATCATTCGAATTGGAATTTAATTGTCTGTGCCTGCAGAAAACCCACAGCCCCTTCCTGGCGTGCACTTAGCTAGCGTGTGGTAATCAATTTCTCACTGATGCGCAGAGTAGAACCTGTGGAAAATCAATAGCTACCGGGAGTGGTAAGTGGCATTTCCGTAATAGAGTTTGTGTAGTGTCACGCAAACCAACCACATACATGAACACGCAGAACGGAGAACAAACAATCAAACGCGAATTGTTTGATCAGTAAATGGGATTGAAACGAGGGTTCTGATTCGCGCGGTTGACAGTACGTTGGCGAACTGTAGGGTACATTTAACCAGTCTGTCAAAGTTGCATTTCACCCCGCTGAATAGCTAACTTACGCGGAATCTCATGGTCACCTGTGTCATGCTTACCGGAGAGGCATCAGCACTGCATACTCCGAGAACCCGATGGCAGATTTAACACACTAAGGAATGAAAATATCCCGCCAAATCATCGGAGCATTCGTCTGGAAGATTCCTTCATTAGCGTAGGCGGGAGAGTTACCTGATGGGAATATGCGTCGGTTAAACAAGTGTTACGGTGTCTTTCAAGTGTCAAACAATCCAGGTTCCGCTCAGTCACTTGTAGCTGATAGGTATATTCTATTAGCATTCGGTTATATGAGGATTCGAATCGTCTTTCATGATGCAGGCTGATGCTGATTTCTATTGGAACTGAAGCAGTTATGTGATGCCTGACGACACAACACAAAGACTTGACTTCCTATCCTAGACCATCATCCAGGCACGCCGAGAAAGTCATCTAACCTGTCTCGGTTAAGTTGGTCGAGGTGGCTAATTATCCTGTCTCGACTATTTGTGTGGTTCACTTGAAATTACTGCACTGAAGTCCTTTAAATGACTGCCAACTTCAAGACAAGAATCATGCAATATTCTGGAGAAACATTGGAGGAAACAGTCCACACTGTCAACCGAGTTTTCACTATATTTATCCGGTGCCTTCACGTGTGTATTATTTGACGTTTGCTTTGTACGATGTTACCGATCAAACATCATTCCGTAGTTTCATGTCGTTGAAAAAATATGTAGTGTATTTGTGATGTCATCTTTTGACAGTTAACAAGAAATTCAACACCACACAGTTGTTTGCATCGGTACACGACCATCTTCTCATTTGTTTTCGAACGTTCAAATGGCTCCGCAGATCCGTGTGGTTGTCTTTTGCATAAACACTAAACCACAGGAATGGCCTTAAGAGCACATCTTTTACTGTTTCAGATTTGTGGTGAGAATAATCTTTTGTGAAGTAAAAAAGTAATATTTAGTGTGCATTACGTCAATTTCATGCGTTGTATAAAACCGAATTAGTTAAGATGATTTTCCAACGCACTGGACAGATGTCTGAGTGTGGAACTTAATTTCGGCTGTATAATTCTTAGAGAGTTGTCATCACACATCTGTGTGTTGAAGTTGACTTTGCGTAATTCAACCTCAAAATCCATTTCGCACCTTTAAATTTCTCAGGTCACCGATAGCCCAGCACGAATTTACTCGCATCGTTACCCGAACATACGTGGGAAACAGACAAGTTCTGAAGAACATTCGAATCCCACTGGAAAGTATCAGCGAGTAGATGGCCTGCCAATGAGGCAAGATGATCGAGCGGACAAATCGACAGGACTAACCAGTTCCGAGAATAGCATTGTCAGTGCTGGTGCCATCTTAGTGGCGATTGTGGCGTTGAGTTGCGCAATCATTCTCGTGTTGTTAGGCATCACCGTTTACCTCTGTGGTAAAAAAGGGTTTGGGATGCGACGCGCATATCTCTACAACAGAAACAGGAGGAATAATTGTGATGACCTCAATAGAACCACCGGATTAGATTTGTACAAGGCAACTGCCCTTAACACAAAGCCAATTGAAGTTGATACAAACAATTCCACGCCACTGCATTTTCCGGAAACCGTATTTGTCGATCCAAACAGTGGGACCCTGTTACGATGTCCCGTGGGCTCATTCTCCTCAACATCAGCAAGCAACCTACAGGATTATGGTGATCACAAACTCATTCGCATGTCAACACCTGTTGCCTACGAGAGTTACACAACATGTTTGCCCGTTAACGAACGGGTTCCGCATAGCGGAAACTACGAAACTTTCCATGCGCCGCACATTCTAGTACCAATACTACCAAGTCACATGCGTGAAAATTCAGGTGAAACTGTTGCAAACGGCATTGGTGGAATCAGAAAACAGGAGTTCTCAAATTCAGGTGGTTACGTAACAAAGCCCGGGACAATAGCAAGAACGTCGGAAGTATCTACAGCACGAAATTGCATGATTGAGGCCACGAGATTCACGCAATCCCTAAAAGTTCGCAGGCCTGACAGAGAAGACTCGTGTGAATCACCGGTATCTGAAGGATCCACCATAAAACACCAAGGGAACCATATCTATCGCGCGCCCAAAGTGAGAACCAGTCACAGCTGGGAAAGTTTACTGACCTTGAGCAATCCCAAACAGAAAAGTGTGAGCTATTAATATTTTGAAACATTATGAACGTTAGTCTTCTAATAGACTGACAGAAGCTTACCTCTTTTCACTGATTTTATAGTTATTCGTATGACGTTTTTATAAAAGTTGTTTCCAGAAATGATCATCTACACTTTTGCTTCTCGTTTTCATTTTGGAACTTACAAGCAGTTTGATCATTTCATGCTTAGTCTTCGTCTTTCGGTGTCTCGGTCCACTTAAAATAAGTTATTTAAGTCAAAGACCCAAGATTGATTCCATGCGTCTTAGAAATAAAGGAGCATACGCTCATCGAAGTTCGCTAACTTATGAACCTTTTCGATACAGTCCCCACTAGACCGGGGTTTATTTGGTTGTCTCACTAAAAGATATCGTCAGCCCTACCGAAGATGGGTAGGATCACTGGCTTGTTGCCATGCCTGAAGCCCGGAAAGACTTATGGAGTTAGGTGGGCGGAGTGCTATGAAAAGACTGTTCCACCAGAATTCCCAGTTGATAGCCCGTATAAATCAAAGCAGATGTGGAAAATTAAACCTTGAAAATTTACGGCAAATCTAAAGGGCATAACGGCTATCCGAACCACTCTAGAATCGCACGCAGCGATCCCACAGTAGAACTCACGGATTTGAGCCGCTCGTAAACCATTTGACTTCAGTATACAAGGACTAAAACGAACTTATAGCTGGCTAATAGTTCGGTCTTTGCAAGGGTCCAGGTAATCAGCCAAACTGAGCTCTACTGTTGAATGGGCGACTCGGTACGCTCAGTTGTATTAGACGACAGCCCATCTATTTACTAGGTTAGGCTGTCGAGTTCAAAAACCACAAAATCGTCTTAAATCTAACCATCTCTCTCTGTCCTGCTGATTTCTAAACACGGTATTTCAACAACGCCTCGTGTTAGGCTGTTCTGAGGGATGCGGTTCTCATCCGTAGAATTCATTCCAAATTTGCATTGCCTGTTCCACTGTTCGTTCATTCATTCAGGTCCATTTGGGGGACCTCTCAACAGGCAATACAGGAAAGGCACAATTTCCATCAGTCAGCCCAAACCGAAATGATAAACCAAAAAAAGCTCAAGATTTACATTGGAGAGGTTAGTTGAATTTGAAATCCTTTCTATTACAAACTTGACCCATCTATATAGTCTGTGTTATTTCAATCTACTCTATACCAACTTCGTTGCTTTGAGGTACCACCTACTGAGTTTTACCACATGGTATACTTATTCCATGGAGTTACTTCCCTACTTTTGTTACTCGGGAACGATTTGCAGCCCATAAACCCCGATACAAACCGGCAATCTTCCGACTAGATTTTGAAACCTCGATGGTTTTCCAGGCGACGGCCGACCGGTAAACTGTCTGACTTATCCTCTACCAGGTATGGCTACCGCATTAGTTAACCACACGTTTAAAACCTCCCAATCCGTCGACCGGACACCCTGGTGATAATTTTCCGTGGGACACTCATGTTACTTGTGAAACGCTTGAATGTTTGTAAACAATGGGGGAAAATTTGTTCAGTATGTGGATATTGTCAAGATGGTTTTGGTAAAAATCGCCAATCCGGACTTGACACTGTCTAATTTCGCAGAAAATTGCTTCGTTTTCTGGTTCGCTATAACCCTTTACCTATCTATCTATCTATCTATCTATCTATCTATCTATCTATCTATCTATCTATCTATCTATCTATCTATCTATCTATCTATCTATCTATCTATCTATCTATCTATCTATCTATCTATCTATCTATCTATCTATCTATCTATCTATCTATCTATCTATCTATCTATCTATCTATCTATCTATCTATCTATCTATCTATCTATCTATCTATCTATCTATCTATCTATCTATCTATCTATCTATCTATCTATCTATCTATCTTGATGGTCCTCAAAGACTTTTCAGTAACCCTATGAATGGTTTCCCTTAAGAAAACAAACCGAGATATCTTGACTAAAACATGAGTTTATCTTCTTACCATATATTCCCTTGAAGGATACTATAAACAAGAGATATAGATTGGCGCCCCTTATCATCAACTTAGTTTGTGAATGTGTGTATTTCAACAAGTCAGTAAACGTATTGGTTTTAGTTTTGTTTTGTGCCGAAATTAACAGCGAAATTTCTCACATCCCATAGACTTTCTATTGCTACCTTGAAATGGACCACTTATCAAAAATATCAACCACCCATTGGCTATCAGGTTGTTTGTTTTTTATGCCAACGTGCGCGCTGTGCTAGAATTAGTTTAAAACAGCTGTCCTAGAAAGGCCGAATTCACGTTTCCCACGTACGAGTTTGATTAGGGACAAAAATTTCGAAACTTTTTTTAATAAAGACATAACAACTTAATTTTTCATCCACTTTTGTAGTAACCTGGAACCCTGTTCTAGACACTCGTGAACAGAGTCATCAAACAGAACCGAACGTCTCCACATTTCTACCCCATACACCCCGTCAGACAGCAACAAAAGTGCAGACAGATCTGAGGCTTACACAAGTTCTACCCGGCCAAATTGAAAGATGCACTCCTCAGACCACTCGTCATCTAGTACTACCACCAGGATCTTTCACAGGGGCAATAGAGGACAAAGAAGGATACTCACGCCTTATCCGAGAAACTCGGCACCTCAATGGTCCCTTGGCATGTTGTGCTATTCAACAGTCATGTGACTTGCCGTGCATGGATCCGCTTTGCACTAGGAACCGCCAGGATTCATCTGACGAACTCATTGACCTACAGTCGAGAAACGGAAATCTGATTGATTTAGCTGGCAGTGACAGTCAGAATTCCACTTGTTCACAAATCTGCGACTGTCCGGTCAATGTGAACGAACCTGTCCAACATTTTCAGTCTCTTAACGGCATCAGCTTAGGCGAACAGGCAGAATTGGTATGAGTAACAGCTGATTGCTCCCCCCCCTCCCATCAGGACCTCTGTCTCCACTGACCTTCCTGAATAGTCTGGATTGCATTTTCATGTACAATATTCTTTATTTATAAATAAACAGGTTGAAAGTTGGTGTAACTATACCTTGACTCCATTAATCCAACGGCACGGGAGCAGAACGTCATGTTCACCACACAAAAAGCACCGTACCAGGAGAAAAGCCTAAGTTACACATCACCACATACCAGAGCATTCCAAAATGGGAGACTAAATTAAAAGAGGAGAACCAAGAAACTCTTACACTTGGGGAAATTTAAGGAATCACGTGGTGCCTGTATATACACACAAAGTTACATCGCATCAGTGTGCGATGGTATCACCGGTGATTAACTGCTTTGATTGGGATTAAGTTAATATCAAGGTGCAAGAAAAACCCAAACCACTGGACTTCAACTCAGAAATATGTTGTCAGTACCATAGATAAAAGGAAACACTGCCAACCTTGTGGAACAACCCTCCACATGCATTCCAGGCCGGACCAGGAGGTCATGTTCATCGAGGACCTATCCGCTGACTCGTCTTGTAGGAGACATATGTTGATACGTGCGAGCACAACAACATCGCTCACTGGCCCAGCGATACGAACGAGCGATGCAGGGCTGCGTAGATTTATCATGACATAACTATATGATATCCACTTCTCGCAATCAAAAAGTGGTTGGGTTCCATTCAAATTCAGTTAGTCTCATTAATCAAATGTAATTACATTACAATCACTGATCTAATCTTATTCGAATAGTCCAGGAATTCATCTAGTTTTGTCTTCCGTACTAGGCATAAAATACTTGAATTCAACAACGCATCCAGCTTCTTCAGTCTATAATATTTAGGAGAGGACGGATAATGGTATTTCATAACCAAGTTCAAAAGAGCACCAGCGCGCTCACAAACAGCAGTTCCGGTGAAAAATGGCCATCTGGACAGAAACAGATTGAATAAACTTAGTTAAAAGGTGGTCTGTTCTAAGGCAAGCATCCTGTTTAGAAAGCACAAGCCCAGTCATGCACCGAGCCACAGTCATCAATACCATCCTTTGCAATGCCTTCGTTATAACAATTGCTCCAACATGAAAGATCATCACTCCCGACCAATACCATGGTCCTTATAGTACGATTTATGATAATTCCTGATGGGGACCGTTACTCTGCAAACGTCACGTGGAAAGTCATAAGAAATCCTCCTTAGGGTCATTTATACTCCCCAAAATTCAACGGTTGTAAAATGCCTGCATGCCTGCTTCCACCGGCTTATCGTACTGACGCGGTGTTAAGACAAACATATTCGGGTACACTAGACTTTCGTGAACTACGGGCCGTAAGATGAGGTAACCGATCTACGCCATCACTCTTCCTTCAATTAAAGACGGGCCTGCTTGCAAAGCCTCAAACCCAATCGCAGTGCTCTAGAGGGTCAACTGTGTGCATTCACACATGCTGTCATTGTCATACATGAATACCGACTAAAAATGTCAGATTTTATGTTTTCTGAGACGACTACCATATTTCTGAGAAGCAGTTTCTGCGGAAGACAGTCTGTCTGGAGGGAAGATATCTTAGTATTGAGACATTCTAAAGCTATGATAAGCTTAAATAATTAACGCAAACGTTTGACAAGAGATGAAGCTGTTGTGGCCGGCGTGACAACTGACACTCTAGCTTCAGTTTCCGTGTTATAGTAATCTTCAGTTATTGTGTTTGCCGTTATGTGGGTTTAAATGCCCCACTGTGCAGAAATAGACCTTAGTATGGTCAATCCGTAGAAATGGATCATTTTGATTGGTGCTTGAAACATGAACAAACTTCACCTCAACCTCCCTTGAAATGATCAATTTTGAAAATATCTATATACGCAATAAGCTCAGTTCCATCCACACAAATCAGTCCTTTCTTTTTATTTCCCGAAAATTCCCCATTTCGAAGCTTCTTCCACTATGAATGGATCTGAGCACACAACAGATCACCCGGGGATCTGGATTTTATCTCTCTCACGTACTAAGCATCGTCAAAAACGTGGTTTTATTCGGAGGCCGAAGAAAAGGAATATCTCATGTTGTCAGAATGAATCGTATCCTAAAACATGGCATGCGGGAGATGATAGACTGTTGCTGCAATGTTTTACTTAGATATGTTGGTATGATGATCTTCCGAGATTCGAAAATCGAAAATGAGTGCTAAAAAGAGTGATCAGTTTTAGGAAACAAAGTTTATCTGGTGTTGAGCTCCTTTGAAAGACATAAATCTGTGGAAATAATACTATTTTTGAAGCTCACTGCTGAGTGTTTCCTTAGACTTGTTTTTCGGTGAAAACGAGGCAATCTTTAAAATAACTCTTTCATGACCGAACTCTTGATGTGTCCTTTCTAAAGCGAAATATTATATTTTGGTTATTACCCTCTAGGTGATTGTTTGTAGGCACTGAACACGGATCTCTCGATATGTACGGGATTCCAGCGGAGCTCCAAAACTAAGCACAAGTGTTCTGGTCTTTGGTGTAGTTTAATCTATGATAATTGCGTGCCATGTCACACTACCTAAATCACTTAAGGGAACTAATCCGTTACTGTGTTTTGCGTCCAAACATATAAAAATGCCTTGCGTCCTTGGCTTTGTGCAGAAGAAATTTCATGCGCCTGTACGTTTCTACAAATCCCATAGGGTGCGAGGGTATTTTTCAGTGATTTTGGGCCGAACCTCATGAGACCGCAATTAAGCGTCCTTAGTCAGTGGTTGGTCTATCTGTGAGGTCACTCTGTAAACATAGTTGGGAAAAGAATTCTCACGTAAACTGATGGAAGAGGGTAAGGAGGGAAATAAGATTTGCAAATGTCTAGGAAGAAATTCACTTATGGTACTTCTTTTGATGAGACGTTTGCACAAGGGAGAAGAGTTTGATCTCTTTCTGAGATTTCACACGGATGGAGAAGCAAACAGGCACTACCGATGTTTTTCCTGCATGGAAATGGCTTCACTATGAGGATGTGTGATTCCGTGATCAAAATAACACAATAACGCTTGACAAGCGATCTCCTCCCTTGCCTGGTTGGTCCTTTGTCAGATGATTTACTGTACTACTTGTAGAAAAGCGTGATCATACTGTATCATCTGCCGGAACTTTGGCCGTCACTCAGCGTGGGTAAAATCAGCACAGAATAGTTTGCCTGGGAAACTCCACATCAACTGATGCAGAGACGAAAGGTAAATTTCCGCAATGAATTTTGAAAGCAAGAACAATAGTTACATGCTTTAGGGCTGAATTTAATGTACGCGTCACCTGTGTCTTGATGGATTTCAAAAGCCTATACCTCACCAATGTTTTGCGGGTATCCCGATAAACTTTGTGCCTCAGACGAAACAGCATTTTTTCATTTCCCCTTGTTTTGATTTACTCGCTTGAAGAGTTATTGGAATCGCTAGAACACTGAGGGCAGTCATCTAACCGTCAGGCAAAATTCTTGGAAAGGTTCCTTATCCCCAGTATGGCAAACTGAAAAGGTCGGTATATTCAGTCAATGATTTGGTTTACCATCAACCTATGCACAAATACTTGTGCGATACATTTGGTGACTCTTGCGTCCGGTGGTTCATTGGGTGCTGGAAGATTTCCAAATTTAAAAATGAACTTGTCGCACTTAGTGTCGTAATGGGTTAAAGGTCTACGCACGGATCTTTCATAAAATTGATCTGTTAATTTCAATGTAAATTGTTTACACAGAAAATGGTCACTAACTCTCTAGCTATCTTTTGTAGGACACTAAAGGTCCTTCAACTGGCCCACCTAAACAATTGACCCTTGCATGTTACAGTTTGCCGTAATTCTCGTTCCCAATGACACCTCTCTCGAGACTTCTTGGAACGTTTAGATAATTGCACCATACATTTTGTAATACAAGAAAGAAGGAAATAAAGCTCAAGGAGCTGATGCAAGGGTATATTTCTCTAACAGAGGGAATGTTCTTTAATAAGGCTGTTGCACCAAACATTAACTGCATGAAGCTTAGTTGCGTTGAAGACCTCTCGGCATCATTTGAGCACAACTCAGGGAGGTTCGAACTTCTGCCTCACCTTACAACTAACCAAAAGCTACATAGTTTTCAATTTCATTATATTTATTGAAACTCAACCTAACCATTCAATGTTAGAATAGATCATTAGATCATTAGATCACTTATCGAAAGTTGATATATGAAACCATTCTTTGTGGTGAAGACGCCTATTTGCAAATACAGTTATACGTAAGGTGGGATGCTTTAAACTCAGATAAAGCATCTTATTAAAGGGTAACTATTCTTTAGTCAGTTGGTGGAAGTGGAAAACCCACGGGTGTATAAGCTCATATGATGGTTTTTGAGGTTAGTTTCCGGCATTGGCCCGTTAGTCCTATACTGCACTCATTATTCTCAGGGACAATGCACTCAAAGCTATGCCTGACTTCGCCAAAAACATCACCTTCGTTCTGTCTGCAAAAATGAATTTTGACTGGATTTTTGCTGATCCTCAAGATTAACTCTGCCAGTCAATGTGGGAAAAATGTATGAGAAAATGAATTTTTACTAACAGAGTTCACCAACCTGAAAGCCACGACCACCTACTTTTCTTTGTCGTGATTATGCCAAGTTGGAGACAAACTTGCAACCTTGGCTATTGTTCCAGCCCCGTTCGACAGCGTTAAACAGTGCCTACTTCCGCCTCTGACTGTCACTCTTTTTCTAAGACTGGCGACATCACGGTATGGAGTATTCTTATTACCGACCTTTAGAGAGAGAACAGTGCTCCGTATAGCTTCTGTAATGAAGCTGCTCCTCTTTCGTGTCTGATCTATAATGACTTCCGGCATGAAGATTTCTCTGACTGTCTTTTGCTAAAACAGGAAGCCCACGTTTCTTTTGTTTCCAATCCATATTCAACTCAGAGGCTATAGGCATGCAAAGAAAACTTGCTGATTAGATAAATACACTCATTTGCATACCAGTTTAATTTCGGCGTGAGACTCACCTGGAACCCGACTGAATCTCTCGTTTATGATGAGAGCAATTTGCTTA